TATCTTCTTTTTCTACTAGTATACTCTTCCTATATCCTTTAACTTCTAAATATCTTAGTTTTCTTACTAATTAAAGCTACCTACCGATATTAACTTAAAAAAATTATATCTTTCGACGATATAGTACTAATTAGTAAGGCTACCTTCCTCTAAGTATATTATTAGGCCCGGTAGGCCGGTCTAACTAAAAAGAATATTAAGGGCGGGTAGCGTAAGTTAGGACTATAGCTAGTTAATATAGCAAAGCTCTTACTAAGCCGGTTCGTCTTACTATAGCCGTTAACGCCGTTAACGCCGTTAAAAATAAAGAATTCTAGTACCCTAGCTATTTACAATGCTCTTAAAACTTCTAAACGATTATAAGAAGTCCGTCGCCTTATTATAAGGCTAGAAAACCACGGTTAAGTTAACCGTACGATCCGACTACTCTTTAGTAAGGTTAGCTATAGCCTTAATAAGCAAAATTAGTAGCTTATAGCCTCCTAGCTTCGAATATAGTAGCTAGAGTATTAATTATATCGTCTATAGCCTTAATAATAGAAAAAGGTCCCTTAGGACCCTAATAAGCGGTTTATATAGATTAAATAAGTTATAAAGATAAAGAAATAGCTTAAGTATACGCTTAAGCCGGCTACCGCCGCTATAGCTAATTAGAACGTAGGATTTAAAGCTCTTTGCAATAGCTAGTAGCTAGAGTAGCTAGAAATACTAAATTTAATTATCGTAATATTAAAATACGGCTTTAATTGCGTTTAGAATATACCTGCCTTAGTGCTACGAAGGGTGCTAGAAGTAGGGGGTGCTAGAAGCTAGGTATACTAACTTAGGAAGGTCGACCGATTTAATAGGGAAACTATTAAAAAAAGGCTTCTACTTTTCTTTTTCTTTTAAGAGCTGCTTTATAAAGTAAGGCTACTTAGTTATAATAACTATATTGCCTTAGATTTACTTCTTAAGGCTTAGGATAGCTATAGCGCCTATAGTAGTATTAGCTTAGTCTCGAAGTAAAAGGGGGTTAAAAGCAAGCTATAGGTCCTACTTTCTTATCTTAAGAATAAGCTAGTACCCCTCCTTAGGGTTTATTTTCTTAGCTAGTAGCTTAGCTAGGTCTATAGTCTTAGTCTTAGCCTTAGCTTTAGCTAGTGTTTTAGCTAGGGCTAGGGTCTAGAGGGCCTAGGCGAAGGATTTAGCCTTAAGCTAGGTAGCTTTAGGCTAGGGGGCCTTAGTCCTAGGTATAGCGGTCTTAGATTAAGACGTTTATTAGTTCGACTAGTTCTAGAGACTAGTTTTTAGCCCCTAAGAGAAGGGGAGAGGCAGCAGCCTAAGGAAGGGTCCCTAGCTAACTAAGTTAGCTAAAGCGTATATAATTCCTTCTATAAGCTTTAAGAATAAAGGCCTTATTTTCTACGCCTTTTTTACTAAGACTAGAGCGGCATTTAATAGTTAGAGGGTCTATTCTATATCTTTTAGGCCTCCTAAGGAGTCTAAGCGTCTCCTCTTATCCCCTATAAGAATAGGGGGGCAAAGAGGGGTAACTAGCTAGGGCGGTATTTTAAATATAAACCTTTATATTATTAAAGGCTTAGATAGGCCTACTAAGGACTTATTTCTTTCTAGGGAGCTAGAGGGGGTCGTAGGGGCTTAAGTAGAGGCTCTAGCTAGGGCTAGAGCATTAGTTAGGGTTAGGGTTATAGGTAACAGTATATTAGAACGGTAGTTCTACGGCTCGGGCCTAATAAGGAAATAGGTAGGTATATATAATAGATTAAGGTTTAATATAGCAGCTTATATATAGCTATAAAAGAGGTTATATTAATTATAATAATTATATACTCTTTTTCTTCTTAAGGCCCTTTAAGGAGGCCTCGTCCCTAAGGGGGAAATTAGCTGCCCGATTTGCCCGGTGTCTACACGTGATAATGCACGTGATCCGATATATGTTTCTACCCGTCAGTTCCGACACGGTAGAACCTCGGGCTCTATATCGTAGTCCGGCTAGCATAAGTAGCTCGGGTAAGCGTGCGGGAGCTGAAAGTCGCCAAGCTAAGTGGCTCTACGTCGTCGGCCTACCCGTGCCACATCCCACTTATCTAGCGATTTATATAGTGCGCGAATTCCACTCGCCAGATAAGGGCCCCTAGCCATGGGTATATGCAAAGGGCAGATCTCCGTTCGGTAGTATTTAAGTTACTCAATGCACAGCCCTATAAATAAACCGGATTATAACGCTATCCCACTGTAGTCAGCTTAGGGCGGCCTTAACACTTCCATATTAGGGAGGGGTTCAGCATTATTAGCGGGTAAGGCATTCCTGCGGCCCTGCCGGCTATTCCTCTCCGAACAACAGCGCAAATTCGGCCTAATCTAATAATGCAAGCTCCGGTCCGGAAATAGATATATTTAGCGAAACCTAACCGTAAGGCCTACGGTATTCAGCCCTAGCTACCGGTTACGCCTTGCTTGGGACAAGGATAGCTAGATATCGCTCTATATAGTGGACCCTTTATATATCGAGTCTAACGCCAGTGACTAAGCTATCTAGACGTGTCCACCTTATATAGGCGGGTAATAGTAGATGTGCCTATATATATATATCTGCTATACCCTTGTATTCGTATTTCTGTCTCTGCCTAGTCAAGCATAGAAGCTACAGGGCGTACTTATACGAGCTTGTTATTTCTCCCTCTGTGGAGCCCTATATCCTAGTCATAGAGAAGTCTCTGAGATCTCTTGTCACGTTATAGAAGGTGCATGGAGATTGTGGTGCATTGACTGCTCTGCCTAATAAATGTGGTGGGGAATGCGGGACGAATTTTAATCCCCCCCTAGTGTCACGGGCTGTGCCCGGCTGGTGGACCCGGTTGTACCGGGTCCGGTGGGTCGTGCTCCGGTGGCAACACCGGCCCCGCTCCGCGGACCCAGAAGCTGCGAGAACATTCCGAGAAGGGTAATATAGCTCGCACTCGAGGCTACGCCTCGAGTTCAGCTTCTTTCCTCCTTAGCTCTAGATAGACAACACCTAGGCACCTGCTTGTTGAATAAACTCCGGGCCAGCCTTTCACATATCTAGAGCTCCTTCTAAATACCGCAAGCTGCAGACTGCTCGTCAGGATGGACCAGCAGAGTGAGAGCCCAAGTCTCCAGCAGCAATGGATTGACCAACGCATTCAAGAAGCGGTCAATGCGACTCTCAGCCCTCTACAGGACCAACTTTCCTTGCTGATGGAGCAACTCGGGCGAGCGCAGCCGCAGAGCGCCGACTTGCAATCGCCGCCAGTGGCACGAGGATTGGCGAGAGCACGCCTGGCTTGGGCACGCCCTCCCAAAACCTGCGGTACTGGAATGCGGAAACCGTTGCCCAACCCACCCAAGTATGACGGCTCACGGAAGAGCTACCCGCCTGGGCCAGGCAGATGCGAGACAAGCTGGACCTTGATGCACACTACTACAGTGGAAATCGCGAACTTTGGTACCTCATCAACTCATGTTTGGACGAGCGACCACAGCAAGTGGTCGCTACCTTTACGCCGCGGGAGGCCCTGGGGTAGCTACGACCCCAAGAGTTCATGCGATACCTCGACCGAACCTACCAGGACAGCAACATCCAATCCCGCTGCTGCCACGCTGAGAACTATGCGGCAGCGCGAAGACCAACCTCTCGCGTCCTTCCTTCCCCGATTCGAACAGGCATTAGCTGAAGCCGGGGGAGCAGACTGGCCGGACAGTGCAAAGATCGTATTTCTAGAGAACGCAATAAATGCACGCCTCCAAGAGAGTTTGGTCACAGCCGTCCTACCGACGACTACCAGGGATGGCTTGCGAGAGTTCAGGAAATTGCGGGCAGATTGAGAGACTGAAACCCGGTAGGCAGCCGACGTCGACTGAGCGGACGCCTCAACAGCTACCAAGGCAACGACCCAAGGAGGAACCGGAGGACCCCGACGGAGATGTTAAGATGACGGACATCAACCGTATTGGCCACGAGTCGAAGGGTCGTCGACATGTCGATAAGAAGCCGAAGGATGAGCGCCGCTGCTATCGCTGTGGTCGGACGGATCATCTTATCGTGGACTGCCCAGCCCAGGTGGTCTTTCCTGGCGAAGGGAAGCAACAGCGACCTAAAGCTGCGCGCATGAAGAAGCCCGATGCCGCAGATGATTCGGAATCAACCGCAGCATCCAGTGAGGACGAGTCGGCGGGAAAAGACTAGCCCCGGGCGAAAGCGGGCGCCGGGGCCTGCAAAGGCAGACATCCGGGACTGGGAAGCGTTCAAGCCACGAATGAATAGTCGGACTGTATTAGTCAACGCGCGGGTAAACCGAGGCTATCGAATACGCGCCCTTGTCGACTGTGGATGTGACTGCTATGCCGTGATCGACGAAGCCCTTGTTCGGAAGCTGCGGATACCCTTCGTCGACTCGAAACCACGAGAAATTGGGGGATTCTCAGAGTCAGCGAAGAGTGTCATATCCCCAGGGTCGTGGCTGTTGTGGTCGAGACAGCTGGATTTGACGAACGTGTCTTTGATACGTGATCCCAAGCCTGGGCCAGGACATGTTCCTCGGCCGGCCTTGGATGGAGAGAAATCACGTCGTGTACGATGCTGCCAAGCAGCGAATGTACCATGGGAGGGCAGGTGTGACGATACGCCTCATTGGGCAGGAAGAGCCCGCCAAGATACGCGCGATTCGAAGCGCAAGACTCGTGTCGGCAGCCGTATTCACGGCGGAATGTCGACGCGCAAAGAGACGCAAGAAGTGCAACGCGATCTCGATTCATGCAATCAGTTTGTCGGATATAGAGAGGGCGCTTCAGCCGAAGCCGCCAGTCGATCCGAGCGAGAAGGTCCCGGCAGAAGTGCTGAAAGAATTCCGCGACCTATTCTCACCAGGAGAGGCAATGAAGCTGCCGCCACATCGACCGGGTGTGGATCATGAAGTCAACCTGCAGCCTGACAAGAACGGCAACGAGCCACCCTTCCGTGGGGCCCACTCTACAACATGTCACGAGAAGAGCTGTTGGTCTTGCGAAAGACCCTGAAAGACCTGCTGGACAGAGGATTCATCCGAGCGAGTAGCTCAGCGGCTGCCGCGCCGGTGCTGTTCGTGCGGAAGCCGAATGGAGGGCTGCGATTTTGTTGCGACTACCGAGCGCTGAATGCAATCACCAAGCGCGACCGATACCCACTGCCCTCATCGCGGAGACCCTGCAGAATCTGGCCAAGGCTAAGTGGTTCACCAAGTTGGACGTGGTGGCCGCTTTCCATAAGATCCGCATGGCTCCGGGACATGAGGAAAGACTGCATTTCGCACGAGGTTTGGGCTCTACGAGTGGCTCGTGTGCCCTTTCGGCCTGAGCGGCGCCCCGGCATCATTCCAACGATACATGAACAGTGTATTGCGCGAATGGCTGGACGACTTTGTCACAGCGTACCTGGATGATGTACTGATCTACTCGAGCGGTTCGAAGGCGGATCATGAGGCTAAGGTGCGACGAGTTCTCCAAGCACTCGCCGACGCTGGGCTGCACCTAGACCCAGCGAAGTGCGAGTTTTCGGTACAAGAGGTCAAATACCTTGGGTTCATCGTCAACGCAGGAAAGGAATCGCCTGCGACCCCGAAAAGCAGCGCGCCATCCGCGAATGGGAGGCCCCGACCACGGTGAAGGGTGTCAGAAGCTTCTGGGCTTCGCCAACTATTACCGGATCTTCATCCCCGACTATGCCAAGATCACGCAGTCTCTGGATGCCCTGCTTAAGAAAGGAACTGCCTTTCATTGGGGACGAGCGGAGAACGAGGCGTTTCAGGAGCTGAAGCGACGATTTTGCGAGTCACCGGTGCTCAAGCAGTGGGACCCGAGCCTCCCGACCTTTTTGGAGACGGATTGCTCAGGCTACGCATTGGGAGGCGTCCTGTCGCAGGAAGGCCCAGATGGACGTCGACACGCATGCGCCTTCTTCTCGAAGCGACTTTCGCCAGCGGAGTACAACTATCCCATTCACGACAAGGAGATGCTTGCCATCATGAGATGTCTCGACAACTGGAACGCCGAACTTAGGAGCTGCGCCCATTTACAATCCTTACCGATCACCGCAACCTGAGTATTTCATGACACGCCAGAAGCTCACGGAACGGCAGAGCCGTTGGGCAGCCGAATTGTCCCAGTTCGACTTCAAGCTCGAGTATCGACCGGGAAGCGAGGCTGTCGTGCCTGATGCGTTGTCCCGCCGTGAACAAGACAAGCCACAGGGCATTGACGAGGGGAACAAGGAAGAATGATACAGTTGATACCGGATAGTGCCATTCCATCATCGACAAGAGCATGTATCAACGCGATGAGTTCTGACTGTTCAGAGGCATCCACCCTGCCGAAGATGAAGGTCTTCGAGGTAGCGGACCTGCAGCAACTCTGGGACGAAACGGTGGCGAAGGACTCGATATTCCGGGCAGCCTATAAGGCAGTCCGCGATCGCGAGCGTGCCTTCCCGCCCTCGCTGGGCCTGAAGATCCAGATTTCAGAATGTGCGATCGACGCAGGCAAAAGGCTGACATTCAGAGACCGTATTTGGGTGCCGGGTGGATCCGGAGAGGAGGGTAACCAGGAGGAAGCTGAGAAAGACCAGTTGAGAACCCGCATTGTGCAGCAGTCGCATGACTCTGTTGCGACCGGTCATCCCGGCAGGAAGGTACGCTGGCTATTGTGGCTCGGCGATTCTACTGGCCTGGGCAGTCCCAGCTGGTTCGCCGGTACGTAGCCAATTGCGACACCTGCGGCAGAGCACACATCTGGCGCCAGTCGAAAGGGATTTCTCAAGCCTCTGCCGATTCCAGATCGACCCGAAGCCATTTGTCCATGGACTTCATCGCAGATCTGCCGCCTACTGGACCGAGCAAGGCAAGGTACCTGTGGGTGATTGTGGACAGACTGACAAAGGCTGTGACCTCGAGGTGATGGACAACATGGAAGCTGAGCAGTGTGCAAACCGTTTTCCAGTGTCATTACCGATTTCACGGAATGCCACGGTCCATCGTCAGCGACCGCGGAGCAACTGGCTAAGTAGGTTCTGGAAGAGGTTCTGCCGTCTTGCAGGTGTCACGCAGAAATTGAGCACGGCCTATCATCCTCAGACGGACGGAGGGCCAGAGAGAATGAACCAGGAGATCGAGGCCTACCTGAGAGCCTACGTGTCGTACGTGCAGGACGACTGGGAGAACTGCCCTGCCGCGCAGCTGGCACTCAACAATCGTGAATCCGCAGCGACCAAGATCAGCCCCTTTTCGCTGAGCATGGTTACCACGTCGATCCCATCAGCGTCGAGGAATCGGAAGAGCCACCGAGGCATAGAGAGGAAAGCAGAGCTGATAGCCTACTCAGTCGCCTGCAGGAGGTCAATGAGTACATGCAAGCAGTGATGGCCTCCTCACAGCAACAACAAGAAGAGGCTGCCAACGCAAAGCGACAGCCTGCGGAGCGATTTGAAGTTGGTGACAAGGTGTGGCTCTCGATGGCAAACTACAGATCGCCACGACCGTGCAAGAAGCTCGACTGGCTGCATCACAAGTACACAGTCACGAAGGTAATTAGTTCGCACGTTGTTGAGCTCGATGTTCGTGGCTCAATTTACCCGCGATTTCATGTTGACCTTTGCGGCGGGCGCATCAAGATCCGGCTCCTGGCCAAAAGGTAGATGACGCACAGCCACCACCGGTACAAGATGAGTCCGGCACGAATCTGTGGGATGTCGACGAGATTCTCTGCGCGAGATGGAAGAAGCGGGGACGAGGGGAATTCAGGCAACACTAGTGCGATGGACGGGCTACGCAGAGCCGACTTGGGAGCCAGTTGAGTGGTTGCAAGGAACAATTGCGATGAAGGCATTCGAGGACAAGTACGGGCCAATCAAGACCAATGATGGCCCTAGGGAGAGGTACGAGACGCTGGCAGGAACGCAAGAACCCCGCAGACGCCGACCTGGTCGGAGGGGACAAGGGGTAATGTCACGGGCTGTGCCTGGCTGGTGGACCCGGTTGTACCGGGTCCGGTGGGTCGTGCCCGGTGGCAACACCGGCCCGCCCGCGGACCCAGAAGCTGCGAGAACATTCCGAGAAGGGTAATATAAGCTCGCACTCGAGGCTACGCCTCGAGTTCAGCTTCTTTTCCTCCTTAGCTCTAGATAGACAACACCTAGGCACCTGCTTGTTGAATAAACTCCGGGCCAGCCTTTCACACCTAGTAGTTCATTTCAGGCCACGGCTCTAACAATAACCGAAACAACATTGAAAGCATCGACTCAGCTGAGAATCATAAAAGCCCAAGCCCGTTCGTCCACTGCCCCAGCTTCCTTACTTTCGCAATTTCTTCGCCATCCTCGAATATAAGATTCTTCAGTTCGAAGTTCTTGACCCCGTCCAATACCAACAAAATTGTTTTGCAATCCCCCTGGAAGTACGAACCTCACGCATTTCTACCTTTCCAAGATGGCTCAGATTGATCCTTCGCTGCTCCTGAACAATGTCTTCGGCAAGACCGGAGATATCAGTAATATCGTTAAGAACTTTGACTTTACCAAGGTAGGGTAACGGGGAAAACCCAGTTGATTAAACCGGATCGTTTTGCTAAGTTAAACATTAAGATGAACGTGCGAGACAAAGAGTCTAAAGATTTTCTTCACACTGAACTTGCACCGTCGTTTGGCGAACTAAACAAAGAATCACTTCAAAATATGGACGATCGACTTAAGGTTATGATTGCAGGAACTATGAAGGTTCTAGGCAAGCAGACCGACAAGAGCTGGAAAGCAGTTTTGTCTACCATGATGCAAAACGAGCTGCTTGAGCCAGATGGTGCAGAAATTGCTCGTGCTGATAAAATGATTAAAGAGAGCGTCAATGACTTTAAAATTGATGGCTCTGCCGATGAAAACATTGTCAGAGAGGTATGGTTGCCGGGAAACCCCTGTTTACTGCCCCTCTTAAGCCCTTACAGATGCCTAACAACATGAGATAGGCCAAGACCTGGTTTATAAATCTCATCGCGGACGATGACGTGATTCAAAGCACTAAGATCGACATTAATGTAATGGCTCAGATCGTAGCCCAAACCGGCGCTACAATTGACAGCTTTGAGACATTGTTCGCAAAGAACGAGCACCATGAGAAGGATTTAGTTGATATTGGGGTACTCCGTTTCCCGGATTTTGATCACCCTTTCTTTAAGGTTAGTATATTTCAAAAGCTTCTGTGGACATATTGAAAGAAGCTAATCATGAAGAGGGGCAGTTGTATCGAATTAAGCTCGTTGCGTGGTCTGACTGTTCGCGCATTCTGTTCCATCAGGCGGACAAGAATGGCATCACAGGAGGTAAGACTAACGCTCCTGATTCAAACGTTTAACTAATTAAGTCCATTAGAGTTCAACTGCAGGATCTTTCGTCCTCGAGCGAGTGTGATTGATGGCCTGACCGATGCAGCTCGCCGGAAGGCTATCAGTGCGGCGAACGCCATGTTCGATAATTAGCCATCCAGCTGAATGCAGTACTCGTCACGTCCGGCAGCCAATACTTTTTTTTCCCGTAGAACCGCAGACTGTCAGTGGCCCATGAACACGTATCGACCCCTGTTCACGCGCTCTATCGCACGGAGGATGAGCTGAGCAAGCATGAAGATCGGGGACTGAGTAACTCTTGATTCTCTTTCTAAGTGATGGTGAGAAGTTGGCTTCTTATACTTGTGACGTTGGACTGAGTGGCGATATCGCCACTCAGCCAGCCTAGATGACGATGTGATCTAGAAGCAGCGCTGAAATCAAGTGGATGTCACAGGTCCGGCTTTAGTGGGCGGTCAGCGGATTACCACCGCAGATTACCGCCGATTAAGGGATTTACCGGTGATCTGCCGGATCCCGTGACCCGCCGGACTTACACCGACATTCTGTGGGGAGTTAAGGAACAAACGTGCTGAACTGTACTCTAGACTGTGTAAAGGCCTTATAGGGACCTCCCTCCGGGCGAAATAAATCCTGCCTACCTACCGACATTCTATCTCAACATTAATCTAGAACATCTCAATAACCATGGCGGCTATTAACGAAGCGCTTGCTTTCCTAAAGTCCTTAGAATCGGTTAATTACGCTAAAATAGCTCGCTAATTTAGCTACGATGAGACCACGTTGCGCCGCCGCCATTAAAGCAAATAGCGCTTAAGACGCGATGCGGACTCCCTCTATAAATCTCGACTATTAAAATAGTAGGAACTAGATCTTATTGCTTATATTTATAAGCTTTCGTTACGTGGCATCCCGCCTACGCTATCTATAATTAAGAACTTCGCTTAGGATATAGCAAAAATAGAGGTCGGAAAGAACTAGCTATATAGCTTCGTTAACCGCTATCGTAATAAGCTTAGTTATACCTAGTTCGATAGATTTAATATAGCGCGAAAGTAAGCTAATAGTACTTTAAGGTATAAAGATTATTATAAACTAGTACGTTAATATAAAGTATCTTATTTCTATTACTAATAGTAGAAGATACGCTTAAAAATTAAGGAATATAATATCGCCCTTTATAATATATATAATATAGACGAAAAAGGCTTTCTTATAGGTATTATTAACTAAACTAAGAGAGTATTCTCTCTTAATTAGAAAAAGCAAGGTAAATTACTTAGTATATTATAAGATAGTAATCGATGCTAGATTATATTTATAGCTTATATTTATTAGGATATAATATCGCTGCCTTCTTTTCTTATCTACTAAGGTAAGCTAGGATAAGTTTAGGATACTTAGCTTATAAAATTTAACCTAGAGCATTAATTAGCTTTCTTTATAACCTTAGATATAGTCTAGACTAACTATAAGCTTAGAAAAGAGTAGCTTATTAGCGTTCTTAATCGGTTTACTAAGGTAAAGGCGTAAACGGCCGCGATTATCGCCTTCTTATTACTAATAGCTACTTAAGCTATATTAATATAGACTTTCTAAAGTAGTATAACTAGTATCGGATTATTATTATAGTATTTCCCCTTTATTTTACTTATTAGCCCTAGCTCTTAGATATATCTCTATTTAGTCTCTTATTAACGGTATATATAAATTAGCTTATCCGGTAGATAGTAAAAATATAAGGACTTATTAGGCTATTTAAACGCGAATTCTAGACCTTATTTTAGAACGTATTAAAGGCGTCCTTTTCCCTAAAGAATATTATAAGCGGGTAGATATAGACCGGCCTCCTACCTTTAGCGAAGTCGTCTTATTATAGATTATAAAGAAGGAATACGACGATTTAAATATAAGCAGCGATTTAGAAGACTCCTTAGTATTATAGTAACCTACTACTTAAGAATTACGACGGCTTATCGATAAAGTAGTCGATAAATCTACCGCTAATACTAAAGTTAGTACTTAGAAGCTAAAGAGTATTCTTAAAAGCCTTTAATCTAAGGTTAAGCTACTTAGATATAAGAATAAGGGACTCTATAAGACTATAATTTATAAGAAATAGTATAGGTAGCGTAGTATAGCTCTAAAAGATTATCTCTTTAACTATATAGATCCTAACTCTACTTAGGTCTTTAGCCTATAAAAAGTAGCTTAAGCTCGAGTAAAGAAAGCGGCGATAGAGGTTTAGAAGAAAGAGGAAGCAATCTAGAGGGAATTCTAGAGGGTTTAGTAATAGAAAAAGGTAGAAGAGTAAAAAGAAGAGGCGTTAGAAAGAAAGAAGTAGCGAGAGGAGAAAAAGAAGTAAAAATTATAGGAAAAAGAAGCAAAGAAGTAAGAGAAAGCGGCTAGTCGATAACTTTAAGACGATCTTAAAGGTCTAAGCTAGGAAAGTACGTAATAGAAGCCGCGGCCCTAGTAGGTACCTTCTAAAGCTTAAGAGAAGAGTCTAAGGACTCTAAATAAAATAGTTATCGCTCTTTTACTAACCCTAGAGCTTTTAGTAATATCGTAGCCGCTAGATTAGCTAATGTAAAAAGGTATAAGCAATAAGCGTAGAATCGGGTAATCGATAACGTAAGCGGAAAGATCGGTTAAAGGAGTATAGGGTAGGATTTCGTCCGGAATTTATAACGAATATATAAGGGGCTAAATAATATATTAAAAGAATAGCGTTGTAAAAGATATATATAAACTTGCTTATTCTATCTACTACTCCTAGGGAAATCCTTCGTCTTTTATAGACCATTGCTCGCCTACTAGTAGACTAATTAGTCAGCTTTCTAGCATATTCTATAGTGCTTAAAAAGCTCTATCTATAGTATATCTTCCTCACTTAGTAGGTGGTCTAATTGTGGCGTGATGGTTAACGTAAGACTATAGGTTCTAGTATAAGTAGTGGATTTAACTAGAATGTTCTATGCCCTACCTATTCTCGTATCGCGGATATCTTCGGAACCGCTAGGCCAAAATAGGCAATAGGGTATCCGTTCTACTCGTAATTGGCTTATGCAGTTTATAAATATTTTTGTTTATAAGGATAGGCTTATCCTAACCCCCTTTCCCTAGAGGAAGGTATAGATATCTAGTAGAGGTCTTTGTCTTTTAAGGGTTATTCCCTTAGACTGTATTATAGAGCCTCTTTTTACTAGCTTATTCTATAAAGCCTCCCTATACCTATTATTTCTTTATAATAGTAAAATAGGAATATAAGGGTATATTCTTATAATAACCGGCTCGGCGGATCTATATAGTTTAAGGAACCTTAGGTAAGGGGGTTAGCGGCTTACCTAGGGTAAATAATATACCTAGCCTTTATTTACTCCGGCTATATTAGCGTTTTATATCGCGGCTACTCTAAGTATATAGCTAACCTTAAAGACCTTAATACTAGCCTTCTTATAAAGCCTAGACGTCTATTCTTAAGTGGTCTAGCTTAGTAATAAAGCTATATATTTAGTAAGTAAAAGGGTTAATATACCCTTTAAGTTATAAGATCCTAGTAAATACTATTACGCTTACCTAAAGGCTTCTTTAGCGATTAGTAGAGCACTTTCGTTTTATACTAGTCTTTACTTTATTAAAAGATAGGAAACCTTTCTGCCTTTTTCTACTTACTAGCGCTAGAAAAGCTAGAACGTAAGGGCGCTAATAAGTATAAGAATATACCCTTATATTCCTATTTTACTATTATAAAGAAATAATAGGTATAGGGAGGCTCTATAAAATAAGCTAGTAAAAAGAGGCTCTATAATATAGTCTAAGGGAATAACCCTTAAAGATAAAGACCTCTACTAGATATCTATACCTTCTTTTAGGAAAAGCGGGTTACGATAAGCCTATCCTAGTAAAATAAAATATATATAAAATATATAAGTTAACTATAAGCAGAAAGGATACCCTATTGCCTATTTTAGCCTAGCGGTTCTAAAGATATCCGCGATATAAGAATAGGTAGGGCATAGAATATTCTAGTTAAATCTACTACTTATACTAGAACCTATAGTCTAACGTTAACTATTATATTATATTTAGACTACCTACTAAGTTAAGAAGATATACTATAGATAGAGCTTTTTAAGTACTATAGAATATACTAGAAAGCTAACTAATTAGTTTACTAGTAAGCGAGTAATAGTCTACAAAAGATAAAGGATTTCCCTAGGAATAGTAGATAAAATAAGTAAGTTTATAAGTATCCTTTATAACGCTATTCTTTTAATATATTCTTTAGCCCCTTATATAATCGTTATAAATTCCGGACGAAATCCTACCCTATACTCCTTCGACCGATCCTTTCGCTTATAGTATCGATTACCTAATTCTACGCTTATTACTTATACCTTTAATAATAAGATAAGACCGCGGATCTTAATATTATAAAGTAGATCTATACTTTATATAGCTATACTAGTTAGTCTTCCTATAGTTTATTATAATAACTAGCGCCTTTATAGTATACCCCTAGGCCTTAAAGCCCTTATTAAGTAAGTTTAAGGGAAAGTAGTTTACTAACTTTATTAGTAAGCGGTTACTAGACTATAGTAGTATATAGTTCTTAAGTAGAAAGTCTACTTATATCCCTAAGGTATAGGCGATCTCTTTCCTCTTAAATAATACTACGTTAGTATAGTTAGGTATCTACGCTAGTATATATATATCTCTTAGAGTTCTAACTCCCCTATCTATATACTCCTTTCTCTTTTAGCCTTAAGTTATTATAAGAATACTACGCTTAAGTGCCTTTAGTACTACTCTTTATAGCTAGGCTATAAGATTAACCCCTTAGCTCTTTTACTTATTATAAAACTTTTATATAGCCGAGATATAGCCCTATATAATATTATACTATAGTTTAAGCGTAGACCTATATAACTTTAAGTTAGAGTCTAACTTATATTTATTACCTTTACTACTTATAATAATAATATCTATTAAAAGGAAGCTAGGTATTAATATAATTAGCTAGCTTAGTTTAATAACTATATCCTATAGTTAATATCTATTACTTAATAATACTTTATATCTCTTTATAGCCCTATTAGCTTTCTAGGCCTTAAAATATTATCTTTTTT